GTAGTAGGTGTAGTATCTGTAGTACCTGTAGTACCTGTAGTAGGTGTAGTATCCGTAGTGCCTGTAGTACCTGTAGTATCTGTAGTACCTGTAGTACCTGTAGTACCTATAGTACCTGTAGTATCTGTAGTATCCGTAGTAGGTGTAGTACCTGTAGTATCTGTAGTACCTGTAGTACCTGTAGTAGGTGTAGTACCTGTAGTACCTGTAGTACCTGTAGTAGGTGTACATAGTACCTTTCACGGCAGCCATGTTGATGGGTAGAATTAATAAAATTGTTCATTCTATTGTTGAATTCATTTTAATTTCGCTTTAGGAATGAAATTTGATTTTCYTTACTCTGAAACATGCCCTGCCTTACTGGGCGCGTCACCAGTAGCGTTCATTTTACCTATCAAGGCGTACGCATGAAGACTATAATAACTCAAAATAAATAGGTGAAGAAAGACTTATAATCATACTTAGTTTATTGTTTTCTTTTTAATATATTTTTTCGATTGACTTGAATTATTTTGGAATTATCCCTTAGATTTCAGGATATATACATCGTTAATCGAATATATCTACAGTTTCATCTAAAAGTCATAATGTCTTGATGTGGTTAAGGCAACTATGGATCTAACTAGAACTATATATATCTTAATACTTTATATCACTATATTTAGTTTTWAGACAAGAGACCATAGTGTGATTTGGTAAATCCTGCGAAATATTCTTTAGGTAGCGCATTTTTGAGTCTATCTGACTAATGCACTCTAATAAGTACACTTTGTTTCCCGTTAATGAAAACTGCTCTATGGTCTCTTGTTATCAAGGATAGTGTTAAGTACAAGCTAGAAATTCACTGAGGTATCAACAACACAAAGAAACACAAACTACTACAGATACTACACCTACTACAGTTACTACGAGTACTACGGATACTACAGGTACTAAGGTACTACAGATACTACAGGTACTACAGGTACTACAGTACTACAGGTACTACAGTACTACAGGTACTACAGTACTACAGGTACTACGGGTACTACATCTACTACAGGTACTACGGATACTACAGATACTACACCTACTACAGGTACTACGGATACTACAGG